GCAGTGTCATCCACCCAGCACAGCGCTCCGCGGCTCCCAATGTGACCGCCCGCATGCGTCCACCATGCTCAATTTGGCAGTTTCGCCCGCCCAGTACAGCGCTTCGTGGCCCCATAGGGAGCTTTACCGAAGCCCCCAGTGGGACCGCCCGCATGCGTCCTCCACAGGGAGCTCCATCGACGCCTCTTGTGGGGCTGCCCGCACGCGCCCCCCCAACATCCAATTTGGCATTTTCGCCGACCCAGTGCAGTGCTTCGCCGTGGCCCCATAGGGAGCCCCACAGAACCCCCCAGCGGGACCGCCCGCATGCGCCCCCCACACCCAACGCTTCGCGGCCCCATGGGGGGCTCCGCCGAAACCCCAAATGGGACCGCCCGCATGCGTCCACCATGCTCAGTTTGGCATTTTCGCCAGCCCAGTACAGCGTTTCGTGGCCTCATAGGGAGCTTCACCGACGGCCCCAGGGCTACCGCCCGCATGCGCCCCCTCCCGCCCGGCGCAGCGCTTCGTGGCCCCCATAGGGAGCTTCACCGAAGAAGGTATTCACAATTGCGGCACGCACAACTTCATATGTTTGGGTTGAAGAGGAAAACGGTCCCCGCGTTCCTCTTCTCCTCTTCTCCTCTCCTCCTCCCCCTCCTCCCCCTCCCCCTTCCGTCCTTCTTCTTCCATGCGCTTCACCCACCCAGCACAGCGCTTCGTGGCCCCATTCGGAGCTCTACCGAAGCCCCCAGTGGGACCGCCCGCATGCGTCCGCCACCACCCAGCACAGCCCTTGCCCCCCTGCGCTTCACCCACCCAATGCAGCGTTTCGTGGCCCTATGGGGGGCCCCACCGAAGGTCCCAGTGGCACTGCCCGCATGCGTCCGCCACCACCCAGCACAGCCCTTGCTCCCTGCGTTTCACCCACCCAGTGCAGCGCTTCGTGGCCCCATAGGGGGCCCCACCGAAGGTCCCAGCGGCACCGCCCGCATGCGTCCGCTACCACCCAAAGTGGAACCCTGCCCGCATGCGCCCGCCACCACCCAACTCAGCCCCTGCTCCCTGCGTTTCACCCAGTACAGCGCTTCGTGGCCCCATAGGGGGCTCCGCCGAAGCTCCCAATGCCACCGCCCGCATGCGTCCGCCTCCAACCAGCACAGCCCTTGCCCCCTGCGCTTCACCCATCCAGTACATCGTTTCGTGACCCCGTAGGGGGCCCCACCGAAGGTCCCAATGGCACCGCCCGCATGCGTCCGCCACCACCCAGCAAAGCCCTTGCTCCCTGCGTTTCACCCCACCCAATACAGCGCTTCGTGGCCCTATGGGGGGCACTACCGAAGGTCCCAGTGGCGCATGCGTCCGCCACCACCCAGCACAGCCCTGGCTCCCTGTGTTTCGCCCACCCAGTACATCGTTTCGTGGCCCATAGGGAGGCCCACCGAAGGTCCCACTGGCACCGCCCGCATGCGTCCGACACCACCCAGCCACCACCCAGTACAGCCCTTGTTCCTTGCGTTTCACCCACCCAGTACAGCGTTTCGTGGCCCCATAAAAGGGGCCTTGCCGAAGGTCCTAGTGGCGCCGCCCGCATGCGTCCGCAACCCGTACAACGTTTCGTGGCACCATACGAAGCTCGAGCGACGGCCCAGCGCTTCGTGACCCGATCGGGAGCTTCACCGATGAATATCGTCACATGTGCGGCACCCACAGCTGCGTACGGTTGGGTTTTTCGTCCGGATATTTGTTTCCAAACCACCTTGTGGTGTTGGGTCTCCGTTTTGAAGAAACGGTCCCCGCGCCTCCTCTCTTCTTCCTCCTCCCGTGCCCCCTCCCCGAGTGGGGGTACCACATGCGTCTACCACACCCAGTACGGCGCTTCAAAGCCACATAGGGAACTCCACCGAAGGCCTCACTGGGGTGTGGCCTCATGCGTCCGCCACGGCCAGTACCACGCTTCGTGGTCTCATGGGGAGCTCCACCGAAGGCCCCAACGGGGGGACAACATGCGACTCACACCCAGTGCGGCGTTTCGTGGCCACATAGGGAGCTCCACCTAAGGTCCCAATGGGGGGTACCACATGCGTCTGCCACACTCAGTACGGCGTTTCGTTGCCCCATAAGGAGCTCCACCTAAGGCCCCACTGGGGGGTTACCACATGCGTCCGCCACACCAAGTACAGCGTTTCGTGGCCCCATAGGGAGCTCCACTGAAAGCCCCAGTGGGGGGTACCACATGCGACTGCCACACCCCGTGCGGCGTTTCGTGGCCACATAGGGAGCTCCACCGAATGCCCCAGTGGGGGGTACCACGTGCGTTCGACACACCCATCACGGCGTTTCGAGGCCACATAGGGAGCTCCACCTAGGGCCCCAATGGGGGGTACCAATGCGTTTGCCGCACCCAATACGGCGTTTCGAGGCCACATAGGGAGCTCCACCGAAGCACCCAGTGGGGGGTGGCCTCATGCGTCCGCCACAACCAGTACAGCGTTTCGTGGCCCCATAGGGAGCTCCACGTAAGGCCCCAGTATGGGGGTGGCCACATGCGTCCGCCACGCTGATTGCAGCGTGTCGTGGCCAGTGGGGCCGTCCGCATGCGTCCCGCACACTCAATTTGGCACTGTCACCCACCCAGTACAGCGCTTCGTGGCCCCATAGGGAGCCCCACCGAAGCCCCCAGTGGAACCGCCCACATGCGTCCCGCACTCGCAATGTAACATTTCTACACACCCAGTAGAACGTTTCGTAGCCCCATAGGGAGCTCCACCGAAGACCCCAGTGGGTCCGCCCACATGCGTCCCACACGCCCACTTTGGCAGTTTGCCCCACCCAGTACAGCGCTTCGTGGCCCCATAGGAAGCTCCACCGAAGCCCCCAGTGGGACCGTCCGCATGCGTCCCGCGCCCCCAAGTTGGCAATGTCATCCACCCACTAGAGTGCTTCTTGGCCCCATGAGGAGCTCCTGCAAAGCCCCCAGTGGGACCGTCCGCATGCGTCCCGGAAGCCCAATTTGGCATTTTCACCTACCCAGTAAAGATGTTCGTGGCCCCATAGGGAGCTCGACCGAAGCTCCCAGTGGGACCGCCCACATGCGTCCCACACACCCAATTTGGCAGTTTCACCCACCCAGTACAGCGCTTCGTGGCCCCATAGGAAGCTCCACCGAAGTCCCCATTGGGACCGTCCGCATGCGTCCCGCACACCCAATTTGGCATTTTCACCCACCCAGTAAAGCGTTTCGTGACCCCATGAGGAGCTCCGCCGAAGCCCCCAGTGGGACCGTCCGCATGCGCTCCCCCCGCGCAGTGAGTGCATCGCTTCGTGGCACCATTGGGAGCTTCACCGAAGAAGATATTCACAATTGCGGTACCCACAGCTGCATATGGTTGGGTCCTTCGCCAGGATAATTTTACTAGGTTGGGAGGGTGGGGGGCATTGGTCCTGGTTGGCTGCTGGTCGCCTGGGATAGGGGGTGTTGATTCCCCAATCAGTGCTTGCACTGAAAGGGTCCTCGCGGAAGTTGAAGGATTTGGCGAAAGTTTCCCGTCGATTTTGGTCGCACGCTGGGTTCCCGGGTTCCCGGTTCCGGGTTCCGGGCCGACTTCGGAGGGCGGCGAGTCCCGGATTCCCGGGATCCTGGTCGTTCTTCTTATCGATCGGTCTCACCATCGATCTCATTACTCACTTCTCTATCGATCTCACCATCGATCTCACGATCGATCTCACAAGCTATTTCACTAGAGATCGCATGAGCGATCTCGCGATCGATCTCACTATCGATCTCATTGAACCGATTTCACTCTCGGTCTCACGATCGACCCTACAATCGTCTTCACTATCGATTCCACTATCGATCTCACAATCGATCTCGAGATCCATTGTATCAATTTTCATGTCATCCACTGATTGGGTTCTCTCAGGTCTAATGAAAAGGGAACAGTGATAAATCTCTCCCCGAAGGGGAAGGAGGGGGTTGGAAAAGGAAACTCGCTAAACCACTCACGCCCTAAAGGGCTGGTGGGATTCTGGATTAGTCCAGCTTAATGGCCCCCTGATCGGGCTTAGCAGCCCTGAATCGTTCTTACGACGTCCTCCCAGGAGTTGCCTCGGAATCTCGATCGACAACGCCGACAGAGGCGCCGACGGCGACGCCCGCGCTGACGACGCCGAGCCCTGCTGTTTTCCGCCGCGCCTATCTGTTGCCAGAGCCTCCCTCCCCGCCTCGCCCCATCCGCCGTCGGCCCTCGCCGCACCCTTGCGCTTGGGGCGACGACGAAGACGATGACGACGACGACGACGATGACAACGACAACGACGACGACGACGACGACGACGACGACGACGACGACGACGACGACGACGACGACGACGACGACGACGACTGCGACGACGACGCCGACAGCGACGACAGCGACGACTGCGACGACGACGCCGACGGCGACGACGACTGCGACGACTGCGACGACGAATCAGATGAGGAAGAGGTACAAATACCGCTGATCTCACGTTTTTGCCTCTTTGGCCCACCTGCATGCCCTCGTCGTCCACGGCTGGAATGTCATCGAACTTCTGGTTGGAACGCACTCTGGGAGAGATCCGCGAAGTAGCAGTATCGGAAGATGTTCTCGACTAAGACGCCGTGAGCATAAATTTTCGGAATTCCGCGCCGATTTCTTGGACCGGCGCTGAGCTCCCTCTGGCGGCGCCTCCGGCGCCGCCCCTGGCGCCCTCCGCTTGCCAGGGAGGGGGGCCTAGCTCCGATCCATTCGATCTGCGCAGACCTCAAACAGTTTATCTTTGTGCAGTTGCTTCTGCTTCTGCGTGTGCTTCCCCAGCTTCGGATGCATCTCCTGGGAGGTGAAGTTCAGCATCGGCGCTGGTATATCCGTGGTCGAAAGCCGGCAGAATCCGCCGATCCTGGGCCCGACGACGACGACGACGGCGACGACGAGCCCCGCCGAGCAGCGAGAGGACGTCGGCGGCGCCGGCGATGGCGGCGGCGCCCGCCTGCCGGGGAGGCCCGAGCAGCGGAGGGCGGCGGCGAGGGCGCCCCGGAGCTGGCCGAGGAGACGGGAGCGCGTCCGGGGCGGCTCGGGGGCCCCCGCACGCGAGGCAGGGAGGCTTCGGGGTGGCCGCGCTGTCTGTTGGGAGCTCGGGTCGCGCTCCGGAGAAACGTCTCGGGCGCCCGGGGCCTCCGGGATGTCGCGAGTCGGTGCGGTGGCGCACCCCTGGTGTGAGGCCGTCGGGGCATGCGAGGCCACCGCGCGGTCTGCCACCGCAGCGCATCAGGCAGCGGTGGGGGAGGACGGGCTCCTCCGGTGGGGGCCACGAGGCTCCGAGGCTCCGAGGTGTGCCGGAGTCTTCGTGGGCTCTCCGCGGGGCTCTCCGCGGGCTCTCCGTGGCGTTCCTGGGGTCTCCGCGGCGTTCCGCTCGTGGAGGAGGAGGAGGAGGAGGAGGAGGAGGAGGAGGAGGAGGATCACTAGCCCAAAACATACCCGGACCCGGGGTCAGCTGGGGTGAAAAGGGCCGCCCGCTAGAGCGTTTTCGGCCTTGCCGCCACCTCGTCTGGGTACGGGTCGGTGCCCGAAACAACCATACATACCCGGACCTAGCTGGGGTGGTGGTTGGGTCACCCCGTTTAGGTACGGGTATGTATGGTGGTTTCGGGAGCCGACCCGGACCCAGGGGGGGTGATGCCCCGAGGGCCCCTTGCCACCCCGTCTGGGTAATGGTACGGGTATCTTTCGCGCTCGAGAGAGGAGGAGGAGGAGGAGGAGGAGGAGGACGAGGAGGACGAGGAGGAGGAGGAGGAGGAGGACGAGGAGGAGTCTTCGTGGAGCCTCCGTGGGCTCTCCGCGGCGTGCCTGCCTCGGGAGGCTCGCCGGCAGCTGCGCCTCCGTCGGGGGCGTGGGCTCCCCAGGGGGGGGGGGGTCCCGGGTCCTCCCGCACGGCCGTCGGAGAGCCGGGCTGCGGTCCTGCAACGAGGGGCAGCGTTCGGGGGGGATGCATCTCTCGGGGAGACGTAAGACTCGAGTAAGCCGGAACTCGGGTTTGCCGACGTTTTTTGACGAGCGCGTCTTGGATTTTGACGGGCCAGTTTTCGTTGGATGTCTGCAGCGGGAGCTCGCGTCAAATTTCAGATTGGGTCTCGCCATTTTTATGATGGCCTCCGTCAGGCCAACCAGAGCCCCCCGTACCCGAGTCTTACGTCTCCCCGAATCTCAGGAGGGGGAAAAACACAGGCACAATGAATCGTCGATTCCGAAGAAAATGTGGAAAATATAGGAAGTGTGGGGGGGAAGACAGAAACCCAGAAAATGTGGGGAAATATGGGGAATCTGGTTATGTGTGTCTATTTATTTGTGTGTCCCAGTTCTCCTTCAGCATCGACCTCCAATCTTCGGAGGTGATAGACCTCCTACCCTGACACGTCGATCAAGGAATTGGTCCTTTTCGGTTCGCGAGAGGGCGTCGCGGCCGTCATTCTTCCGAGTCCAGGTCCGTCGGCTTCGGTCCCAGGCCGTTTTCACTAAATGGAGGTTTATTAGAGGGAGGTTTTGTCCACCGCCGAAATCGCCCACTGATCGCCGACAGGGACCCGATAGCTCGCCCCGACCAGGATCGTGCGGATTCGCGATTCGTGATCATGGGCCAATCGGCGAGGTATCGCCGATTCCAGCTCGATGCTTCCCCCCTGGAGCCGGTCCCCCCCTGCCGTTGCCTCTCAGAGGAGAGGAAGGGCTCCTCTCGGGCGTTCGGTAGTGGAGGCGATAAAACTCAGACGTCCCTCGCGTCGTGGCAAAGTCACGCCGCGGAGGTTTTCATCTAATTTTCGGCCTCCGTGCCTTCAGCGGGCCCGGGCACCGTCGAAAAACGACTCGGGATGAGGAGCCGACCCCCAGGGAAGGAGCCGAGATCTTGGGGGCTCCACGCTGCGAGAAAATCGCGACGTCGGAGGTCCAGCGATGTCTCGTCCTCTCCTTCCTGACGGTGCTGCTGGGAACCATTTTGAAACAGGATTCGGTGTTGGTGTCGCCGCGGGCGTTGTCTATTCGACTTAGCCGTCGCCTGCGCACAGCATCCGCCGACGGTTCTGGGCAACATTTGTTGTTGGGCATCGTCCCCAGTTCTCCCGCCGCCCCCACTTCGGGCGTGCCAACTCCCTCTCCTGCTGCTGCTTGTGCCGGGCGGGAGTAGGGAGGAGAAGAATGAACAGGAGCAAGGATGTTCGCGGTTCGGTCGGTTCGGCTGCATCGCAGTCGATTGCGTTTGGTTGGTTAGTTCGGTTCAGTCAGTTATTGTGTCGTTGCCGCGTCGGTAGGCTGCTTGGGGCCTGTCGATTGCGGTCGGTTTTCGGTTTTGTTGTGAGGAGTTCGGCGACGACAACGACGACGACGACGGTCCCGTAGCCACGTTGGCTCAAGGGCCAACGTGGCCCCTGGCGCGCCCGCCCGCCGGTGAGGCGCTTGGAGCCACGGACGGGCCCCAGACCGCACGGCTCCAAGCCGAGCCGCGGACTCCGCGATGCCGGGATGGCCTAAAAGCGAGTTCGAACCGGCCCGCTGG